CTTTTTTCTGGGCCAAAAGCTGAGGAAGTCAGGAATAAAATAACTCGTAAGTTCAGGAAGAATTAAGCTATTTCTTAATGTCCGCACAAAAACACCAGTGTTAATAACTGTCTATCATCAAATACGACAGCTATCATCAAATATGACAGCTAACATGCAAGAGAAGGAGCCTTTAAACAATATCACTTTTTCTAGTATATCTACATGTAAGAATACAAGTTTTCATCATCATTATAAGCTTTTTCATCATCTACTTTTGCGTACCTGCAAATTATAAAAAAAATTGTCAAAACGTACACCGGAGAAAGCATCAGCTTCCATTTATGAACGTCAGCATTATAAATTCTTAGTAAATTGTTACTCAGCTGGGTGCTTGCATGATTAAAACCTTCTGGGCTTCGGAAGGTATTTTCTCTGCAGGATTTTGTCAAATCCTGCTTGGTTCCCTATTGGAAGCACTTAAAAGAAATGATGTTAATCTGGCCACTGTAGATGCATTTCTGTCATTTTAACGCGTCTCTGTCACTTTCAGAAAAAATGATCAGCAGGCTGAAGATAAGCAAACAATTGGACGCATGTATTTTTGCTAATGCATATTCTCCAAAGTACATTGACAGATGCTATAGCTGCTGTAAACTGACATATGTTTTGCTATCATTGCATATTTTTTCAAGGATGGAGAGACAGAGAAATTCCGGACATTTAATAGTAACAGATATTGACAAAAAGTGGATTACAAGGATACAAAGTCAAAATGAGCAAACCTCATTACCACCTACCTTTCGTTTGTTTGTTGGAGAAACATATAAGTAGCTCAAAATCGTCTTCAGGCCAACTTTATCATTCAATTTCTCATACGTTGTCCCATAATCTGTTGACCTACAATTCAAAGGGAAATTTCATAAGTAAGAACACTTAATCACAGAACCACAAGCCACTTGGCAGTTTTTCAATGCAAGTCATACTTTACATAGTGGAATGGATCTCCAGAGTTTTTTGAATGATTCATGTAGTATATAATGATACTTAATTGTATATACACAGCATCATGTGAGTGCTAACAATTTGCATTTAAATTAGATTAGGAAAAATTAAACCAGCATCTTCCCAAAGCACTTTAAAATAAACACGCACAATAAGAAATGCTAAATTCTGTGTAAAGAAAATAATGATAGTCAGAAATGCCAAATAGCAGACAGCAAGAGACTACAGTTATCAACTCATTGTATACTCCAGCCTCAGACCAAATTTTTTTTAAGATAAGAGTCTTTTCTCATCACACTGCAATGAAGCTGTTTCAGTTGATTGTTCAGTGAAATTAGAGTTCAGTTTTCTGTGAAAAAAGTAATGCTATTCTGAAAAAAAAAACACTGTATAAGCATTTCAACTACAATTTCTGTGGTTTTATTCACATAGACTAGCAGATAGTATGAACACATACCTCATTTCTTTAAAAGCAATGTTTTTCCATTGTTTGTAGGGAAAATAATATATTTCTGATACGAAAATTGCCAACAGAGATACCGACTACACATTTTGGGGTGACAAAAGAAGTGAACAAATAAGATTGCACTAAGTTCCCATGACATTTACTCTCAACATCTGACTGGAATGAAGATCAACTGTCAGCAGCAGATTTGTACTTATATTATGCACCTCATGCTTGTCTGAATTATGTTTTAATAACCAAGAAATTTAGATAATCAGCCCAAACCTAGTACAGCCAGCCAAATTCACAACGATATTTAAAGTATTTAATGTCTCTACCATTAGTAGTACCATGGGTTTGTTTTGTTTCTTCGGTTTTGTCAGGGAGCAACATGAGGATTAGATTTTAGAGTCATGTTCCACACCTACACCTGATTCATGGCATATTTCTGGGATTTCAGATTTTGCAGTCAGTACGTGAATAATGCAAGGCAGGAGCAGCTTGGACTTTTATCCATTAAAACAAATTCCACCAAGATAAGGATTTGCATTAAAGCTGAACTTTTCTATTCATGAAGTTTATTAAAGAATTAGCTTGTCTTTTGCTTTTGTGGAACGACCAGCCTGTGGTCTTTTTCCTTGCTCCTTTCTAAGAAATGTATGCACCCATGACCTTTGCATGTGACCTTTGTTAGTTAGAAGATTAATGCAAAGTTCTCAGCCACTGACTGATCTTTGCCTTTATAAGGTCATCTCTCCCAGGAGACCATGTAAACTAGCCCAGCTATTCAGTAGACCAAGGAGGAGGATACTACAATAGCTATGCCTGTTACTGAATATTTCAGAGACGTTCTGGTGTTCAGGTGCAGAAACTGCAGCAGAAGGCTGAATAAGCCTTGCTGGCTCGCTTTGGTCACCTTGTCCAGCTCATTGCCCCACCTTCTGCCATGTTCTACATCAAACATAAGACATTCTTGTGAATTTTAGGCTAATAAACATTCATAATTAAAGGTAAGGATTGGGTTTGACCTACTGAGTTAGGAAAAAATATATTTTAAATGAAGGAATGCATCTCTAAGCCGGTAAATGATTTAAAAATGGGACTCTTCAAAGAAGGATAACAATGAAGAAAATTTGACCCACAAAACTTGTTTGGAGTTTCTTAAGCAGCCTCACAACAGTACAGCCAAAGAGATGCTGAAGGTTTATTGCAAATTAGAAATGTAAGCTTTGATTTACTTCAAATCTCTTATTTTGCATTCATAGGCTTATTAACAGGTAATGTCATACTCATATGGAAGCGTGCACTTCTGCCAACATCTATAACAAACAACAGAAATGCTGCAAGAAAGACTTGGAAAAATGTTTTTTGCAGATGAACAAATATGCAAGTGATAAAAGGACTGTTATGTCTTACTCCCATTGTCCTGTTCTAAATTAGTAATAGCATGTCCTCCTGTCTGTTCAGCTACAATCTGTTATTTCTTATGCCATTTTGTAGTTGACCTCAGTGTTAATAGACAGATAAATGCTACGCAACAACAGATGGGCACGTAGAAATGCTTTAACAACAAAACAGCGGTGGGAGCGCACAAAGAGCAGTGGAAGAGAAGAATCGAATGAAATGAAATGCTGCATTCACCGAGAGCCTCTGCTGGGATATGACTCAGGGGTATCAACAAACTTATTCCTATCATATATGCATACATACAGACGCCGACTGGCAGCCTGAGTATTTGTCTTTATTTATTAAATGGGTATATAAAGCAGCACAGACTCCTATCAAAACTTATCAGCCATTTCGTGATCCAGCTAACCTGGAATGGTTGTGAAAGACAGAGGCACTTCAGCAGGGTGTAGACAGGAGTAACAACATAGGATTATCAAATTAAATTCCTATTAACTAGAGGGGAACAGATAAGCATCAAGCAACATTTCCCATTCTTTGAGGAGCAGGCTGCTTCTGTGATGCTCTGCAGAGAAAAGTCACAGATTAACAGTTTAACTGCATCTATATAAAACAAGCAAAACAAACAAATGTCTATCTGAATCATCTAAAAAGACCAAACACAGGACCTGTAGAGCTGAAAAACACAGAAAAGTAACTCTCATCTGCTGAAAACCTATAGCTATTGAAATAATATAAAATGAAGTGAACAGTAGGATGTATTTTATTAGGTCTATAGTGTAGATATGCACATGTAGAGGAGAGTTGTTGAATAAGTCTCATCAAATAATTTAAATCTGTGTGTAAACTGTTTTCATTCAGAATACTGTAGGCTGATTTGCTTCATTTTGACAAGGTACAGTTAAGGCTAAGTCAAAGCAAGTCCAGCTGCTTGAAACAGGAAGGTCTGCAGAGAGATTTGAGATCTGTATCAGGCTAATTAAACAAGAAAAAAAGTAAGACACATTAGCACATTGTGGATGTTGCTGAAATGCAGATGGATATACTAAAGAATAATTTTCAGGAACAGAATATTTATACTTCACTGTGATTACTTCATACCTGTCCCGCTATTCTAGCTGTCATTAGTTCAATTAAATGAATCCCAAATTTTACTAGTAGCTCTTCAGAACCAGACTTCCTACTCAGCTGGTAAATGAGAATGATTTCTGCAAACATTCCATGAGATAAACATTTTGATTATTACTAGTTCATTTATCAGTATAAAGAAAATGATACAACTGCAGTACAGAAACCATGACTTCCATGCATAATGAATTAAAACAAAATTAAACTAAAAACATGCAGAGTAATTTATATTTTGCAAACTGTTTGCAAGAAAGTTGACATTTAAATAACTTCGTTATTATTCATTGACAGGGCTTTTCCCTCTTCTCCTGTCAGGGTAAATGACATTCCCATTACAGTATTATAATAAACTCCTGCACGTTTTAAATAAAGTCACTGAATTCCATTAGTCCACCTACTGTCATGAATATATCTCAATCCAGTCCTACCAATATTTCACAACTATAATAAGCAACCTGAATCACCCAGTAACACGAATCCTATGGAAATTTTCTTCTTCCTCAAGAAGCACAGACAAATTCTGAGGGCTGTCAGTTTGAATGTATAAATTAAGTAAACTCCATACCAAGTCACTGTTTACTTTCCTTCGTTACAAATTTAAGGTTGTCACTACTTATTTTAAAAAAGCTGCTGAAGACGAGAAAAATCAACCTGCTGATGTTCCTTTTTGGAAAGATCATTCTAGAAAACTCTTACTAGGGAAAAAGAACGTTAGACACCAGATTTAAGCAGGGTAATGACTTCTACTGCTCGAGTACCATTTTCTCTCCATAAATATTCATTAAGAAGCACTTTCTTCCCTTTTGCCACCAGAAGCCAGGACTGGTTTCTGTAGACTAACGTGACTGCTTTTTCTCCTTCCCTGCCATCAGAATACTGCCCTATGCATCATGAACTCACCCTCCTCCTTCCCCACAATTTTATTTGCTGCTCTATCTGCTCTCCAAGTGGCAGCCAGCCCTGATGGACAGGGCTAGGCGCAGCTGTAAGGTGCTTCAGGAACAGCAGTGTGAGAAACCTGCCACGACCAGGAACAGCATGAAGAGGTGGACTCCAGCATATTTTGCTTCTGCGTGTGAATTTCAGCCCTGATAAAAGATATTTTAAGCAAGAAACAGTCATGATTATAAGATTACATGTTCCACCCTTGCACATAACTACATTTGCCACCTGGTTTGCCTTGGAAGAAACTGGCCTTTTGAGCACGAGATTTACCAGCCACCACTGTATTAATCTCTGCTTGAACAGTTTTTTGGATAGAAAGATTTTATATTGCAGAAGGCAGAGCTGTAGTGTCAGAGGCTGCTCTTATAAAGGGCTTTCACTGAATAAGCGTTTGAGTAAAGGAATCATTAACGCATTTAAAATGATCTTGTAAGGCCTGTGAAAAATAGTGGAGTTGATAATGCAGAGCCTACTAGCATTCTTGCATATGATATTTCATGCCTAAACTCTACCACAGAGTTGTAGACTTTTGTATTCTTGCTTTTGGGGAATGTTATATGCTCAGGTGCTCTTCCCTCATCACTTAAATTGAAACTCTTTCCTTCATGGCTTTATAGCCAAGTACTCAAGTTCCTCATTGATTTTTGTCATGCCGTGCTGTTTCACAAAAGCTAATAACATCAAAGTCGTCCTCAACAGACAACCATTTAAGTTCACTTGTTCTACCTATTAAAGCCTTTTACAAGCCATTGATAAATGTCACTTTTGGCTTGATGCCTGTTTTGATTTAACTGCTTCTTGACTAACCCTGGAAATGACCTGATCTTAGCTTCTTGCTTTTTCCTCATTTTCATAGCAAGTTACTTCTGTTTTTCAGAAGAACTACCTTGCCTCACCTGAACGTTTCTCACCACTTGCTGACATTCTAACTCATATAAACAATTATTTAAGCCCTCATCCACTTCCAACC